CCCACACTCTTTATCACATGCATGCAAGATAAATAACCCTCACACCCATGGACCATCTTATTAATACCCCATTATAGCTATGTTTGAAATTAAGATTTGGGGTGATGAAGTTTTACCTTTTTGGATGAAGAATTTGGTACTCTACTTGAATATTTCCAAGCTTTGAGTGATGGTTGAAGATTAATTGGTGGGAATTAGGCCCTCCCTCTAGAACCCTCTCTCTCTCACACTAAAAATATGAGAAATGAGCTTCAAAATGGAATAAATGGGTGTTTTAACGGAATGGGGGTCGGGTTTTAAATTAAAAAAAAATGGGTGCCCCGACACAGGTCTGCGGTCGCATATGCGACCGCATAATGGTTATGCGGTCCGCAAAGTGACCGCAGAAATGGCCCTCAGAGGGCTGAACTTTTGGCCCAGGTATGCGACTAGTATGCGGTCTGCATACTCGTTCTGCGGTCGCATAATGCACCGCAGAACTCCCTCCGCAAAAACCCAAGAGGGATTATGCGACCGATATGCGGTCCGCATATCGATTATGCGGTCCGCATATCGATTATGCGGTCGCATAATCGACCGCAAAATGGACCTCAAGCTGGCCAAACTTACTGCTTCACTCTGCGGCCATTATGCGGTCCGCAGAGTGATTATGTGACCGCATAATGGGCCGCAGAAATGCGTTCTTCTGCGAAATATTTTTCTCTCAGTCCGTAGGGTACTGTTCAATCCAAAAAATCTGAACCGCAGAATTTCTACTAATATAACGCAGGGATCTATCTTGGCACCACGAAACCCCGAGTTTTTGGTTTAAATTTTTTACAGGTCCTTACAATAGCCACACTTATCTCACCATGTGCACAACAATAAAGTAAGTGTCTGCCTTGTCTCGTTACACGTATTTTAACAATCATCCCACCTTGTCTTGACACATGCGCAAACTCGATATAATTCTTCTTGTCTCACCACACGCATTTTAACAATCATTCCACCTTGTCTCGCCACATGTGTAAACCCGATATAACCCACCTTATATTGCCACAATGCAATATCAACAATAATAATAGCATGGAAGAAATCTCGTGCAAGCACCCAGACAATCCGCCCAACAAGTCCACATGTGCCACAATCATCACAACATAGCATGCCAATAATTGTCACTAAGACGTAAACTCAAAAACCATCGACACAGTGCACAAGGACAATTCAATAAGGAATGCAGATAGGTGTTCAACATAACTCAATCAGTAACAATCTTGCAAATGCCCAACATAGCCAACTTAGGAAATATAATCCTAAAATAGGATCTCTAACACAAAACATAGATTCAAGTAATTATCCAAAGTGAAAACACGTAGTACATGAACTTCTCAATCAAAACAAGGCAATAAAAGCAACCTCGTGCCAAATTCGGTCATCAAGCACACATACGTCGGTGTACACACTCGTCACCTTGTGTACACATCATTTATACATAACACAAATAAGCAATTAAGCTAAATGCTAAGGGGTAATTTCCCCATACAAAGTTAGGCAAGACACTTACCTCAATTAGACCAATTAAATACTCTAAAAATACTTTTTCCTTTAAAATTCACCTTCGCTCGGCTCAAATCTAATAAAAAATAACTTAATAATATCAAACAATGCAAGAGAAACCAATTTCGATCAATAAAGTTAATTTCTTACAAAATTTTTCAAAAGTCAACAAAAGTTAACCCCGAGCCCGTCCGATCAAAACCCGAGTCGAAGGATAGATCTTGACTACCCATAACCCCATGAGTCCAAATATGTATTTGATTTTCAAATCCGATTCCAATTCGACTCTCAAATCTCAAATTTTTATTTTTCAAAATATACTAAACATTTCCCAAAATTTCCTTTCAAATCACATATTTGATGTTTAAATTCATAAGAAATCAAGTTAAAATATTGAAATTGAGTCAGAATCACTTACCCAATAGGTAGATATGAAAATTCCCTCCAAATATTTGCATCCCACCAAGTCTAGGGCTCAAAATGTGAAAAATGAGACTAAAGGTGTGTTTGGTATGACGATAAACGTTTCCGGCAAATGTTTTCCCATTTTTCACTGTTTGGTTGCACAAAATAGTTCGAAAAATATTTTTCTAGATATTACTTTTTCCTGAAATTGGAGAAAAATGACTTCCGNCCCCCGAATTTTTTTTAATTTTTTTTTTGTATTTTTATTTTTTTGTAAAAAATATTCTACAGACCCTTTTGTAAAAGCGACAGCTTGGTTGCAAATGCGGTCGCCTCCCACCCAGATGCCCATTGCAAATGCGATCTTCCAGTCCCCAGGACACTTTGAAAATGCGATTACCTCCTAAAAAATACGAGGTCCGCAAATGTGAACAGGATCTCGCATTTGCGAGACCTGCAACATCAACCCAAAAACCAGCAAAATTGGAACTCACTCAAAACACTCTGAAACTCGTCCAAAATTCATCCGAGCCCCCGGGGCTCTACACCAAATATCCACACAAGTACATAAATATCAAACAGACTCGCTAGCACACTCGAATCATCAAAATAACATATAAAATCACGAATCGAATACCAAAATACATAAAAATCGCCATGAAACTCAAGAACTTCTAAAAATATAACCAAGCATCTGATTCCTACCAAACCAACTCAGAATGACGTCGAACTTTGAACACAAGTTTTGAATGACAAAAAAGACCTATTCCAAGTCCCGAAACTAAAATCTGAACCCGATTGCTACAAAGTCAACCTATGGTCAAACTTAAAAAATTTCTAAACCTTCAAATTGCCAACTTTCAGCAAAAAGAGCCAAATCAATTTAGGAACCTCCGAATCAAATTTCGGACATACTCCTATGTCCAAAATCACTATAAGAACCTATTGGAACCATCAAAATAACGTTTTAGATCATTCTCACAAAAGTCAAACCTCGCTCAACTCTTCCAACTTAAAGTTTCCAAATTGAGAATTTCTCTTCAAAATAAACCTCGAACCTCTCGAACATCGAAACCAATCATACACGCAATTCGTGATACACCATATGAAGACATTCAAGACCTCAAACCACTGAACGAATGCTAAAGCTCAAAACGACCAGTTGAGTCGGTACATTCAAAGACAATTTGTGTTAACTGGAAGAAGTTTTGACACTTGAAGTTATCTACAAAAAAAATTTTTGGAGGTTAACTCAAAATATTTTGCCTACTAAATCAAATTTACTAGCTAGAGGCATTAATCTTCAAATGGGATATCGTTTTTATGGCTCAATGAAAAATAGTGAACATATATTTCTTGATTGCAAGAAGGCAAGAGACGTTTAGGTGGAATGACAGGGAAGGCATTGGTATGGTAAGAGTTCCTTGGTGTTGTTGTTAATGACTCAGATTCGTTGAAGGCTAGGCACACATGTACAATCCTTTAAAAAATTTGGGCCATGAGGAATGAATTTATATGGAATAGTAAAGTTCTTCCTCCTGCTTATGTGCTATATGAAGCTTTAAAATTTTTAAGCGAATGGGAGATTGCCATGACTAAAAAGCGACTACGAGGTCTAATGAGTGCTTCTACTCAGGTTGTGGCCTCGTCTTGGTCTAAGTCTCCATATGGGATCTGAAAATGCAATATAGATGCAATTGTCTTCCTTACTTCGGGTTGTAGTAGAGCAAGACTGTCGTGTGTGATTCAACAGGTAAATTTATAGTTACAGCTTCTTCAGTTTTTCAAGGTTGTATCTATGTTAGGCAAGCTAAAATTATGGGTGTACGTTTTGCCCTTATCTAGCTGATTCAACATTTTAATGGCCCGGGGTATAATCAAATATGATATTCAGGAAATTATAATTTCTTGTAACTCCAAATGAAGATTTTACGGAATTTGAAGTACTTTTAGATGGTTGTCGTTTCTTGTTAAGGAGAAAAATCTAGTTGCTCATCGATTGGCAAGAGATTCTAGAAATTATGCTAATTTTATTTTAAACTTGCTAGTTACCGAATCAGCCTAATAAAAGTCTTTATTTGATTTGTGTTAAGCTACATATATATTAAGAACCAAAATAGTTTACCCTACCATTTTGATCTTTTTTCTCGCCTTTTCTAACTTTTCTAATCAAAGGTACTACCTGAAATGGTTCATGTCTTTGTTTTATAAACTTTAAGGTGCTCAAGAAAACAAAAAGTTATTTAAGGTGGCAAAGTATGAAAATCCATAAAAGCTTAACAAGCTCCTACACTCTTGACTCTATTTTCTCGCAGTTCTAGAGAATCAAAGGAAAGAGGAAGGAGAAGATGATGCGAACGAGGTTGCTATGGTTCACAATAGGTCTCACTTCCGTTTCAGCTACAATGACTCACTTCATATTCAAAGATCTATGGGCTGATCGACTCTCTCTTTCTTCCCAAGTAATTTCTGTGACCAAAAAAATATTATTGTTATTATTTGTTTTTTTGGGGAAAAGAAATGTTGATTTATTCCTTTTTCTTTTTGGAGTACAGTTGAAGGAGAAATTTAGCGTCTTGGAGACTAGGGTTTCCAGTCTTGAAGTGCTTCGTGATAGTCCCAATCCTCAGCAGGTATTTTCTGGCTAATATTAAGGAATAATATTTATTGTAATTTGTTTTAACCTGAATTTAGCTTCAGAAGTTAAGCTGGTCAATTGTATGTTTAAGTACGGTTATATTATGAGATTATTTATTATATAAGCAAATTCCTGTGGAATCAAGCTTTGTTTAGTTCCAATCAAGTTTGCATTCTGGATTTAGATGAGGTGTGTGCAAGTTGGCCCGAACACTGCAACAAATAACTAAGCCTCTCCCAAACAAGTTATGCTTGGCTATATGAATGTCTCATTGACCACATTACTTCATTCAAACTCATCTCATGCTAATAGTATGCACATACAAATAAAAAGTGTTAGAAGTATTAGAAACAGGCCCGAACACTACTGTTATGAAAAAGAAAAGTTTGCCTTCTGCATTTGCATACATCCATAGCCAATTACCTTGTTCAAATCGTTTAAAAAGTTCTAAATAGTTTTGCTTAGCTCACCCTTTTGAGGGATGACCTCTCACATTATTCCTGAATATTAGTTTGATATATCAGCTCTGTCTTCTGTTCCCCGTTTCTTATTCCAAATGTTGTTATTAATGTTATTAGTCTCTTCTAGATGGAGACTAGTTTTTTTTTTACAGTCAGTGAGAAGCTGAGTGGGAATGCTTGACAAGGACAGTGTTTTGGATAGCGTGCGGCGACAAATAGCGACGAGGGCCCGCTTCACTAAGGCGAGAGGCGCGCAGCGAAGCGCTCTCCTTTTTGATGTGAAGCGACAATTTATACAAAAACATAAAATATTATATACATATAACTAAAAACTCAATAACAATAATATATTAATAATAAGAAGAAAAACAGAGGAAAAAAAAAAAGGCTACTGCCTCTGGAAAACAGCAAAGAAAGAAGAAGAAAAATGAAGAAACTAATAGCAAAGAAAGAAGAAGAAAAACAGAGCAAAAAAAAAGGCTACTGCCTCTGGAAATCAGCAAAGAAAGAAGAAGAAAAATGAAGAAAGAAAGAAGAAAGAGCCGATCATTGAATGATTGAAGAAAGAAGAAAGAAGAAAGAAGAAAAAGAAGAAAGAAGAAGAAGTCGCTGCTGAAATAGAGGAAGAAGAAAGTAGAAGGAAAAAGGAGAAGAAGAAGAAAAGAAAAGAAAGTAACATACCTGGTGATGATGGCTGATGATGGAAGAAGAAGAAGAAGATCGAAGGTCGCTGAAGGAGAAGAAGAAGGTCGCTGTTCGTCGCTGAAGGAGAAAAGTGAAACCCAAGCCCTAATTTTGTGTTTTAATATTAATGCCGCCTTTTCTTCCGTTTTATTCAAAAAGCGACGCCTCGCAGCGCCTCTCGCCTCGCAGCGCCTCTAGCTACACATGCAGAGGCGCTCGCCTTTTCTTCCTCGCAACGCAACAGACCAAAATAGCGATGCTGTCTCGCCTCGCGTCGCTACACGCTATTAGCGCTGTAGCGCTCGCTATTTACAACACTGGACAAGGATGCCTCCTTTTAATTGGTGTTGCACTTTTCATCTAGCAAGAAATTCTCTGATTTTTTTGTTTTCAGAAATTTTTCCGAGAGGTAGCTAAGAAGAAAAGAGCAGATTACTAGCCCAAATCACATGCTGATACTGTGAATCAACATTACTTTTACAATATTTTTTTTCAGAACTTAGTTCCTCTAAATGTTATCAAAGACACCTAATGTGCCATAAGTGACATACCTGATTTACCCAAAAATAATGATAATGAGAACAATGTTAAAAAATTTGTTATAAAAAGAATGAGAACATTGTTAAAAAGTTGGCTTGAGGCATGCTTCAGCTCTGAACCTAGGTCTAGGCATGTTGGGTGCTTCACCTCACTTAAGCGGCTGTTCAATGCCTCAGCACCCACCGGCGCTTCTTGAAAAAGGTCATACCAAGAAATAAATATACTTGGCAAAGCAATATATTAGTCAATCAGTACTAATTTATATTTCACTCTTTCAATTTCGAGGTGTCCCGATATGTTTGGAAACTGGTCATTCTTTATGCAATTTTCATGTCTTTCAAGAATTTAAATACACTAAACAAGTGGAATTTTTTAACTTTGATGTGATGCGTTCTCTATCAAACTAGTTTTCAGTCATTATTTGAGAATATCTTTTTATGCTATCAGCTGTATAGTAGATAAATCAAATTATCATTTTAAACTCTATGTCCAGTCAAATACTCGTATAGCATACGACAGATGCAGCACCTGCTAAGAAAATAATATCTACGAACATGTTTATTAGGAATAGATATATAAACACATCTTTCACAGCAAATTACATATTTAACTTAATTGCAACTCTTTCAATTCAGCTGTTTATGTAATTGTTGTTTGTGTTTATCACTTCTTCTACTTGCACTACATATATTATTCTTCTCTTCATCCATGCCTCTCTTCAGTAAAGTGAGTGCTTTTGTACGGTTGTTGCTTTTTGACAGCACCAATGAAAATAATGGGTCTTGGACCCTCTTTGCAACCTTTGAAGGGGAGCCTTGGAACAACGGTAAAGTTGTCTCCGTGTGACCTATAGACCATGGGTTCGAGCCGTGGAAGCAGCCACTAATGCTTGCATTAAGGTAGGCTGTCTGCATCACACCCCTTGAGGTGCGACCCTTCTGCAGGTCATGCGTGAACGCTGGATGCTTTTTGCACCGGGCTATCCTTTTACCCTCTTTGCAAACCTTTAATGGTTGACTTAGAACTACGAAGGGATTCCCTGACCTGAAATTGGAAGTAAAGATCTATATCTCAAAGGGCTCGCCTGAGGATTATTTGTGGCTCGATTGGTAGAAATCTTGATGGAATTTCATGGCTAGAGATGAGAGTGCAGTTGAGGGAGAGAAGCAACAAAATCGGGGAGAGTTAGTGGTTGTTTATAGGCTGTAAATAGGTCATTTTAATCAGTAACAGCATAAAAAAGAAGGTTGAGTACTCTAAGAGGTGCACCATAAAGGAAGAAAAGAACCAAAAGTCGGACGAATTAGCAGATAATACTAATGCAGTGAATGCTGCTGCATAAACAGTACGTACAGGTTGAAAGAATGAGAAAGAAGAAATTCTAGAGCTGACACCTAGAATTTCCTTGTAAATAACTCTATAGCCAAGGCTGAATAAATCACCACTGAAGCTTAAAAAAAAGGAAGGAATCATGGAAATCAACTCACAATTCAATCATCATAAGATAGTGTGTATAAGTAGCTAGATCTTTTGTTTATGCATTGAACAATAGCAAGAATGAGGCAAATAGCTATTTCATGATTTTAGAACTACTATACTCCAACTAGAGTGGAAAATCATTGGATATTGTAATTAAACACTGAATGATGTGGTTCCTCGAATCTATCATAAAAAACACATTAGACTCTTATCGGCTTTAGGACCTTCTTGTAGAAGCAACAATAGTGCCTGTATCTGACTGACTGAACCTAAACCGGTTAAAATATGCTCCAAATGTGTCGATATAATATGCTTATAAAAAATAACATAAATTTGTTACAGTTGTTGATAAGAGTTTTCAAAATTATTTCTGACTTGCATCATGTGTCACAGACCCAAATGTTATGTCTTACCAACCTTCTGCAAAGAAGTGTGTGTGTGTGTGTATATATATATATAGTAAGTTTTATTAATGTTAAAAAAACCAAGAAAGTGCTGTGATT